TGCCCCTGGAATGTGAATGCTGTTTCCTCTGTTAACATTTCATCCACAGTGGTAATTGGAGCTCCCAGCGAGATAAACTGCTAGAATTTCAAAGTTTACAGAATAGGTTTGTAGTTTCCTTGTGCCTCATCGCTAAAAGATATGTTTGTTTAATAAATGTCTGTGGCAGAATTTGGTCTAAAACGTGCTTTAGTTATAACATACTGAAGTTAGGTGGATTTGGTAATTCTCATACTTCAGAAATTTTAAGCCGGGTCACAGTGAACTACCATAAAGAAATTACTACTTGTGCACAATTTAATTTACAACTTCTAATTTAGTTGCCAGTTCACAGTAGCAAAGAAACTAAGAAATTGTTTCTTTCAGCGACTCCGGTAGACATCATGGAACCTTAAAAACGCATGATAAATGTCTACCCTTTAAATAAAGTTAAAAACTCAAACACTGGGACTCTCCCTGGTGGCCAGCGGATTAAAGAACAGCACTGCAAGCGAGCCACAGCAGCTGTGCTAGTTCGATCCCCGCCCCGGAGGTGATCCACATAGCACAGCAGACCTCTCCTGACCTGATGGCTGCTCCCCTCAGCAGTGTACTTTGTCAATCTGCCTGTTCTGCTCCCCACTCTGTTTCTGGTTTATCCTCTCACTGCCCTTGCAGCCTGTACCCCAGCTCTTAATGAATAAATAAATCTTTTTAAAAAAATTTCAAACACCCCTAGTTCCATGATTGTTAAAACACTCCCTCTACTGAACTTGCTCTTCATGTTTCTCATGCCATTATGAAAATCTTTAAAATGGACTGTAAGGTTTCAAATTTGTGTTTAATTCATTCAGAATCACTCTGCTACATTTATTTAAAGTTATTTCCTCCACTTGATGAAATTATTAGCTCATGCCAGTTTGCTAATACTACCTCAAGAACCATCTCTTCTGGATGCTAAATCAGAAAAACTAGGTTCATTGGTGCATGGAAGAACTACTTAATGTCATCCCATGGGAGTAATAGCTCATCACACTGAAAACATGATTTACTAAGGTATAACTGAGATTGATGATTAATATGTTCATTTAAGATGAAACAGCAAAAAATTGGAGAACTGATTGTATAGGTTATAGAAATATTAATGGATACATATTTCCCTTGAGTTCTGGATGCTGATTTGTATAATTTTGGGGTATCCAAGCAAGATAAATTTATTTGGAAGGATTTAAATTAGAAAATTACCTATCTGGGCTGTCCCCAGTGGCAGAAGGGTGTTAAAGCACAGCACCATGAAGCTGTTCACAGCCACTGCAACAGGAGCTTGATTCCCAGCCAGGAAGGTGACCCACATGGCACAGCAGACCTCTCCTGTCTCACCTACTGTTCCCTTCAGCAGTTTATTTCAGTTAATCATCCTGTTCTGCTGCCCATTGGGTCTCTGGTCAATCCTCTCACCACCATGGCCACACCTCTGGCCTGTACCCCAATTCTTGTATGCAAAAATAAATAAATCTTTAAAAATTACCTGTCTGGTGACACTTTTTGTGCAGAAAGCAAGAAACAAAAAGGTTTTGTATAGTGCTTAAGAATTTTTTTTTAATAAAGCTAGAATGAGATCATCTGAGTTATGGCTGAATGAATTTAGATATAAATGAAAAGATTCTCATCTTTGCAGCTCAACTGTATGTTCATTTCCCTGGGATTTTCAGGTGATAAGAAGGCCAATACGAAGCACATAACTGCAACTCAGGGAGATCACTATATGCCACTTAGAAAGTCGCACACACAGTAGTTGGGGAGATTTTTATAGAAATTTTAACAAAATATATGTTGTCAAGGAAAAGTAATTTTGAGGAAATATTCAGATTATTATTCTATCAAGAAAGAGTATGTCCTTAGAGTAATATTTTCATATAAATGATGTTGAAAGAGCACAAGCTTTGAAGTCACTTAATACTGGTTTCAAATTTGAACTCTCCTGGAAATTAGTTCTATGAGTTGGAGAAAATACTTAATATCACTAAGTCTCTACTTCTTTATCTGAAGAGTACAGTGAAGATTGAATCTAGATATAGATTAGGATATATGTGTGTGTGTGTGTGTGTGTATATACATATATATATACATATATATATAATAGACAATACTTATCTATATGAAGTATGGCATACAGTTTAACAGAAAAAAATGTACTCATTGTGCATTTATTTCCTTTGTTTTCTTGCTGGAAATAAATGGAAAAAAAGATATATTTTAATGTATAGCATTTCCTTCAAAACTAACAAACTTCTTGCTTTAAATTATCTTCCTTTCTCAGAATCCATAAAGGAAAATTAAATCCTTGTATTAAGGTTAGCAACTCTTTGCCTTCAAAGAAAAAAAATCCATAAAGGAAAATTAAATTCTTGCATTAAGGTTAGCAACTCTTTGCCTTAAAAAAAAAAAGACCTCTCCTGATCCACTGCTCCCCTCAGCAGTGTACTTCCTCAGTCTGCCTGTTCTGTTTCCCACTCTGTCTCTGGTGAATCCTCTCTCCGTCCCTGCATCTCTGGCCTGGACCCCAGTTCTGTATGCATAAATAAATAAATCTTTTAAAAAATGAATAACAAGGGCATCTTTGAATTTAATACCAAGAGGATACATGGAAAAATAACTTCACATCTATAAAGACTTTGGGTGGATTTCCTTTTTTTTT